TCAAACAAAGCAACTCACAAAAGCTCGGAGTGCAAGTTGCAATTCTTCTGGGTTTGCTGTCCGGCTTTTTTGCGCCCTGCGAGTCCCTCTGCGAAGGCGCCATCGGCGCCATCCTCGAGTGGTGAGGACCTGAGCGGAAAAGCACCCCTCGACTTGACAACTTGAAGCTACAAGTGTTTGGCGGAGCGGCGGTGGGAAGGCACGGAGCAGCAACCGAAGTGGTGCAGAGACGGAGGCGGCCTTAAGCGTTCCAAGCGTTCCCAGCCCAACAAAAGCAAGTACATGTCTCACCTCGCTCTCGCAGACTCTCGCACTAAAATCTTCCTCTCTCAATCTCTCTCGATCTCTCTCGTCTCGTCTCAGCTCTCTCTCAGCCTCTTCTCTGTTTTAATATTCCGGTGCTTTTGCCTCCCGGCCTTCTCGGGAAAGGCCAGGTCCATCCAGGCCACCTCTGGCGATTTGGCGCGGCAGAAAAGCTCCCGCGCACACTTCTCACGTCACCTTGACCCAAAACATCCCTGAGGCTGCGGGCCGCCGGCAGAAGCCGCGCATAAACGCGGGCCTCGCTCTGAGCCCCACTGCGGGAGCTCTCTTGCTCTTCTTTTCAGACAAGCTTCGACAGGAGGCCAAACCGTTCAACCGGCCGACTAGTGTTTCTGAAAGTCTGCGAGAGCCTGCGTGCGCCTTCTTTCTCACCGCGAGCGAGCTCGAGCTCCCCCTTTGTTCCTCTTGTCGAGTCTTTCTTCTTAAAGAAGAAGACTCCTGCCAGTTTCTGGTTAGAGAGTTCTCTCTTCGGACTGATGAGACGGGTGAGACACACTTTGAAAGAAAGAGAGACTGTGAGTGTGGGTGAGACGCACGATCTGAGGGAGGAGGAAAAAACGAAAGAGACAGAGAGAGAGCGAGAGAGCTTTTCTTTTTCGCTCTCTCTCTCTCCCTCCCTCTCTCTCTCTCTCTGTGAAATGCGGGCTCAGCTCTGCGGCTACTGGCCGGGGCTCATGTAGGGATTGCGCCTCACTTCTCAAAGCGTTGGAGATCGTTGGAGACTCTGACCGGCGGGCCCAGATGATCAAATTCTGCCGGCGTAGACCCCAAACAGTGAGGAGGGCCAGAAAAGGCCAAAGAAGGCCAGAAGAGCACCGACACTTCCGGGGACAAAAAGTACAAAAGTTCGTGGGGGGCCGAATTCCCTTGCGGGTCAAAAAAAACGCCAACCACTGGGGGATTCGGCTTTGCACGCTTGTGGAACTTGGGGTCAAAAAGGCCCGTGGCCAACCACTGGGGCCTGAAGAGGCCACAAGAGGCCGGAACGGAATTCGCGCGAAACCACAGCGGGAGCCTCGAAACGAAGGCCCCGCCCCACCGCGTGCGCCGTTGCGGCCGCAACCTAAGTGGCCCCCCCCAGAAGAGGCCAGAAGAGGCTCGAGCAAGTCAGAAGAGGCCGGAATTCACGCGAAACCACAACGCAACGAAATTCGCGCGAAACCACAGCGGGAGCGTGGAATCGAAGGCCCCGCCCCACCGCGTGCGCCATTGCGGTCGGCAACCTAAGTGGCCCTCCCAGAAGAGGCCTGAAGAGGCCACGAGAGGCCGGAATTCGCGCGAAACCACAGCGGGAGCATCGAAACGCAACGGACCAAGGCCCCGTCTCACCGCGCGCGCCGTTGCGGTCGGCAACCTAAGTGGCCCCCCCAGAAGAGGCCTGAGCATCGAAATGCAACGGACTTTGCGCGAAACCACAGCGACAGCATCGAAACGCAACGGAACCAAGTGGCCCCCCCCAGAAGAGGCCTGAAGAGGCCACGAGAGGCCGGAATTCGCGCGAAACCACAGCGGAAGCATCGATTCGCGCGAAACCACAGCGAGAGCGTCAAAACCAAGGCCCCGTCGACCCCACCGCGCGCGCGCGCGCGCGTGCGCGCGCGCGCGCCTGCCTTTGCGGTCGGCAACCTAAGTGGCCCCCCCAGAAGAGGCCTGAAGAGGCCACGAGAGGCCCGAATTCGCGCGAAACCACAGCGGGAGCATCGAAATGCAACGGAATTCGCGCGAAACCACAGCGGGAGCATCGAAACGCAACGGAATTCGCGCGAAACCACAGCGGGAGCGTCGAAACCAAGGCCCCCCCAGAAGAGGCCTGAAGAGGCCACGAGAGGCCGGAATTCGCGCGAAACCACAGCGGGAGCATCGAAATGCAACGGAATTCGCGCGAAACCACAGCGGGAGCATCGAAACGCAACGGAGTTCGCGCGAATAACCACAACGGGAGCGTCGAAACCAAGGCCCCGTCCCACCGCCGCGCGCGCCGTTGCGGTCAGCAACCAATTCCTTTACCCTGAACGTAAGAACCCCATTGTGCAAGCACTGTTTGGGGAACAAAAAAACAGTTCAGGGAAGAAAGGAAGGCTTTGGGAAGGAAAAGGCTGCAGGCTGAAGAAGGAAGAGAAGAAAGTAGCCCGCTGAGAGTAACCCCATAAGTTGCAGGAAGTCCCTGCTTCATTCAAGCCACAAGCCTCGCTCGGAATATGTCTGTGTCTATCTGTGTGTGTACTCCCCGCGCTATCCCCCCAATGTTGTGTCGGAACAAGCTGAGTCACCGGCAGTCACCCCCAATCAGTGGGTGCCACTGCGGGTCTGGAAAGTACTTTTGGAACTCTCTCAATTTGCCAAGCTGGCAGTCTTATAAATATGAGATACAGTATAAGTCCCAATAACTGCCATGAACTCACCCCATCCTCACCCTCTCTTCCCCCCTCTTCCTCCTCCTCTCTGCTTGGTGGGTGTTGCGAGACTGCAAGAGACTGCGTCGTCTTCCTCTTTCCGGCTTTCGGCGAGCGGCCGCACGCCCAGCACGTCCAAGTTGACCAACTGCGCCTCTGAGAAAGGGAGATAAGAAAAGATCATGAAAAGATCCGATATACTTCTTGTCTCATTGTCATCTCTTCTCGTTTGGTTTCACAACTCTTTGTTCTTCTCAGTTCCTGCAGTTCCTGTCTTCCTCTCTCTCCTGGGCACTCTCTTCTGCAATTTCCCCATCTTTGCCCTCTCCGAATTCATCGGAGATCAACGGAGGGACAGTGCCTGGGGCCGCTCGGCGCGGGTGGCACGGACCTCCGGGCTGGAGACCTCGTGATCTCCGAGTCACTGTCACACTGCACGCCAAGAAAGCACAAACAAAAACAGAGAGAGCGCGAGAGAGAGAGAGAGAGAGAGAGAGAGAGAGAGGGAGGGAGGGAGCGTTTCCTCTCGACTGATCTCTGACTCGCCCTCTTTCTTTCTTTGGGGCATGGGGCAAGCCCCGCGCCAAGGGGCGCCCCGATCCTGCGTCTCTCGGAACACTACTACCGGCGCCGCTCTCTCTCTCTCTCTCTCTCTCTCTCTCTCTCTCTCTCTCTCTCTCTCTCTCCCTTCCACCGCACTTAATTTCCGAAGGGGCCGCCCCGTAGGGCGCACGAAAGCGAGTGCGTCCGTGTGTGAAATAGTGCTCTGGGTCGAGTGGAGCTTAGCAGCTGAGCAATATCCTATACTCTCTCTCTCTCTCTTTGTTTTTTTCCTTTCTTTCTTGGGGCATATCTCTCTCTCTCTCTCTCTCTCTCTCTCTCTGAGGGGAAGGAGATCAGAACACGGAGTCGAACCTTGCCTGGGGCCCGGGCGCTCCGCAAAGGAATGTGCTCCCGCACGTAGGCGCTCCTTGTGCGAAAGATTAAGGCCAGGGGGCACAGCGCAGCTCTTAAGCTGTCGCCCACACAAACCGCCTCCCCCTCCTGCCAAACAAAAAACAAGAGAAGCCTTGTAACTTTGTGTTTTGCCTCATATCATGCAAGAAGTAAGTCACGGTCATCGCCCCTGCACGTTTGCGTCTCACAGGGTGTGCATGCGTGCGTGGGCGTGCGTGCGGGCGTGCGTGGGTGCGTGCGTGCGTGCCGTGCTTGCGCACGTGCGCGCGCGTGGATGCGCGTGGGTGTGCGTGGGTGTGCGTGTGCGTGTTCGTGAGCGCATGTGCGCGTGAGCATGCGCAGGGGGGCGCGCGCGCGCGCCAGGGCGCGGGCAGGGCCGTCGTGGGTCGGGCGGGCGGGCGTGCGTTCGGGGCGTGCGGGTTCGCGGGTGCGCGGGTGCGCGGTGCGGGGTGCGCGGTGTGCGCGGGTGCGGGGGTGCGTTGGGTGCGTGGGTGCGTGGGTGCGGGTGCGTGGGTTGCGTGGGTGCTGGGTGCGTGGTGCGATGGGTGGTGTGTTGGGTGTGTGGGTGTGTGGTTGTTTGGTGTGTGGGTGTGTGTGTGTGTGGGTGTGTGGGTGGGGTGGGTGTGTGGGTTGTGGGTGTGGTGGGTGTGTGTGTGTGTGTGTGTGGGTGTGTGTGTGTGTGTGTGTGTGTTTGTGTGTGTGTGTGTGTGGGTGTGGGTGTGGGTGTGGGTGTGGGTGTTGTGTGTGTGTGTGTGTGGGTGTTGCGTGTGCGTGTGCGTGTGCGTGTGCGTGTGGGTGTGCGTGTGTGTGTGTGTGTGTGTGTGTGTGTGTGTGTGTGTGTGCGTGTGCGTGCGTGCGTGCGTGCGTGCGTGCGTGCGTGCGTGTGTGTGTGTGTGTGTGTGTGTGTGTGTGTGTGTGTGTGTGTGTGTGTGTGTGTGTGTGTGTGTGTGTGTGTGTGTGTGTGTGTGTGTGTGTGTGTGTCTGTCTGTCCGTCTGTCTGTCTGTCTGGCTGTCTGTCTGTCTGTCTGTCTGTCTGTTTGTCAGCGCGTCAGTGTGTCAGTGTGTCACTGCGCGTGTGCGTGTGCGTGTGCGTGTGCGTGTGCGTGTGCGCGTGTTTGCGCGCGTGCGCGCGCGCGTGCGCGTGCACGTGGGCGTGTGTGTGTGTGTGTGTGTGTGTGTGTGTGTGTGTGTGTGTGTGTGTGTGTGTGTGTGTGTGTGTGTGTGTGTGTGTGTGTGTCACAGTGCGTGTCAGCGTCAGTGTCAGTGTCAGTGTCAGTGTCAGTGTCGTGCGCGTACGTGAAGTTCTTCTGTGTTTCAATGTGGGCGTCATTGTACGTCGCTCGAATGCCCATGTGCCACGGCTTCCTTATCCACACAGAGCACACCCTGAGTCCCTGAGCGCCGGACGCAGAATGAGACGCCTTCGCCGAACTTGCAAATCAACGTCAGAACCACGATCGCATTGAGAGGAACGCGGTATAGATTGTAGATGGTACTTCGCTTAGACCTCAGCAGGTGCCAGGCAAAACTTTTGGCATCCCCAGCCCCCGTCACGGCTTGGGCAAGCGCTCGGGGACAATCTGGCCCTTCATGGTGCCCATCATGGGAAAGTACATGCCAACACACATCTCGAAGACGAAAAAAGCCAACCTTGCGCGAGGAAGCTCTGCATGTTGCAAGACTACGGCCGCAGTGTTCGGATTTTGCTTGCGGAGTACAACAGTAGTGCAACCATGGCCTGCCTGTAATTAGTCCTATGCAAAGACCTCCCCGCAGCCATCTTGACGCTCAAAAACCTTCCTTCCGCACAAGAGCACCGAAGCTCTACATTGCCAGATATTGCCAGGAAACAGATGAACTGCCTCCGAGTCGACGAAGAGGATGCTCGCGTGGCACAGCGCGGCCAAGCATAGGGTGTACATCCCTCGGATGGAGATTGACTGACTTAGGCTTCGATGCTCACTCGAGCAATAGACATCTTACGCGGTTCAGGCTTCCATGTGAACTCCTGGCGACTATACGTTCCGATCATCGGGCACGATTTCAACAGTGAGAGCAAGGTATACTGCTTCAGCACAAACTTCATCATAGAAGGCATGCGACGTGCCCTAATCCCCAACCCTAAAACTCAAACTCCAAGAGCTGCGCGGGTTCAGGGTTTAGGTTAGCCTAAGTAAGGCCATCGACCGCGTGCATCGGCACACGCAACCGTGTTGGACTGATTCTGTAGGCGCCAAGTCGCCAATCCTCTCATTGGTTATGCTATGCACAGCCATCGAAAACAAGCGGCTGCCTGACAAGTTTGTGTGTGGAAACTGAGCTTGAGGAGGACTCTGGGAAGCAGAATTAGGGCTCTCCAGGCTTTGCCAGGCCTAGCATGCAGAAGATCATGAAGCCCGCGAAAATGTGGCCGAACGGCGGGTCGGGTTCACCCGCCTCCAGGCTCCAACGGCCAGCGCTCAAACTGTGGCCATGACCCTTAACATCCCACGAAAAAAAACTCAGGAATAGCTACCACCTCTGTCCTCTCCAATCAATGCAACTCACCCCTTGGGCACGGGGAACTTCGAGAAACTCTGATGCAACTCGGGTTTGGGGAGTTCGACTCTTACTCACAAACTTCCGTCCGTGATTGTAGCCCCTTAATTGAAGGCTTTATACGGTTGAGGGCTCAGACTTCGAATCCTTCATCAGCACCGGCGTCCAGTTAAACACGAAGATGAACATGGAGGACTCGAAGAGTGAGCCTCAGCTGCGCAGACTTTCCAAGTGGGTTCAGGGTGCTTCAGGAGTTCGACTCTCAGCATCGGACTTCCTAGACTTCTTTTTTAAGGGCTTTGTGGTGGGAGTTCCACATGCCCTGGGCAAATCACGTGGAGAAAATGCCCTTTTGAACCGTTTGTGGAAGCTGGGGTTTGAAAGGATGAGCTGCTTCCTGCAACCAGGAAAGCAACGAGCAAACACATAGAATTGCCACGCGATACTTTGATTGCGCATGTAACCTGTGCACGTGCAACAACGGACGAACGACTGATGCAAGCCAGGCGGCAAACCGTACCACATAACAGGATCAGCGGTTGTGCCATCACCCTCACGTAAGAACATGTCAGACAACAGGCTCGGAAATCAATCAGCAAGTTGTGCAGCTAGAAAGACTCCGACGTGCTGCGACACGCGGTGCCGGGCTGTGGATTCCCGCTGGCCTACTGGAGCCCGACTCTACTCTGTGACCCATGTTGAATGCAGTGAAGTAGCAAGTTCACAGCACCCATGAAGCCACGGTCTTTCGTCTGCTCCATTGCTGCTTCCTGCAGGTGGGCACCATTCAGGCTCAGGCGGCTAAGATCAATCAATTGCAGACTGTCCAAAGCCAGCGCCAAGTCCTTGGCAGTCTGGCCATAATTCTCAGACCAGCTCGACATCATCAAGGCCAGGCAGAGCACCTGAGTCAACATGTTCAACGATCAACTCGAGGGACCCTTGAAGTCAAACAGCTTAGGACCTGGCTAGGAAGCAATTTGCAGCAACGAAGGGCCCGGTGTAGCCTCCGTAGTGGATGCCTTGACAGTGGTTTCAATACGTTTAAATTGTTCACTGTGGGCCTTCTCCAGCGCATATCTCGCTCCCTTCAGCAAGCGGACTTAGCAAAGTATGGGTCTATGAGCAAGGGCGAAGTGGTGGTGGAGAGTCCCAGGCCCTGAGCCCCCCCAGACAATCCCTGCGCTTGAAAACGGGATGCTGCCCACGAGAGGTGTTAGCTCAACGAGGTCGGCGGTGAATTGGCCTCGGCAAGCCCCCATTTGTGAAGGGTTTGGATGGTGTTGGTATGTTGTGCGGATTTGTGCGGGTTCGGGGTCAGTACGTTCGAAGCCACTGATTGCTCACTAGAAGTCCCCTTCTGACAGAGTTTTCGCACGGCAAAACAGGTTTCTGGTCTCAGTGCTGCTGCCACGGTTTCGGTTCCGAAGCCCGAGGCCCTCGACCCTTGTAGGAGGTGAAAACGGCCGCATCTTGAGATTGCACTGAGCTCCGGACCCACCTCCCCTGCAGCGATGGCCACTAGGCTGTTCCCGAAAAAAGCAATCGAGAAGGAGCCGCTGAGCCTCAAACAACACAAGTCCAAGCCTACGTAATTTACAGCAGGCTCCAGCCGCACATCCGAAAGCCTCTCTCTCTCTCCCTCTCTCTGCTTGTAATCCCTCGCCCTGGAGAAAATGCGAGTTGCCATCTTCTCTGCTTGAACCAGAACCCTTGCAGTGCACGAGGCCTGTGCTGCGATCTATGTCTTGTGACAGACTCTCAGAGCTTGGTCTCGGCAACGTTTCTCCAGTCTAGTCTGCTCTGGTCCACTTGTGGAAGGTTGTCGCCACTCTTTCTTTGAATCCTCTCTTGGGTCCAGCTACCTTGATCAACAGAACTCCCGACAGCACCAGGGAATCGCTTCGTCCTTTGCAAAACCATAAAAGAGGGGGTTTGCGGGCCAAGCTCTGCGCCGAGGGTCTGCTCGGAGCCGTATCCTCGAGCATTGTGCTCGGACACCAGCCAGGAGTCGAACCTCAGACTTGCAGGGAGGGTTTGCTATGATGCCTTTTTGCCCTGGGGCTGTGCTTGCAGGGATTTTGACTGCCCCTTGAACTCTACAACAGGCCTGGAATTCAGATCACTACGACGAATCATGTACAAATTCTAAACACTCTAAAGCCAGATTCAGTTGGTGGTAGTTAGAGTAGAAAGTCGGGAGCTTCGCAATTGTTTGTTTTGGGGTTTGGGGGGTGTCGGATGCAGCCACCTGCTTTTCTCCGCTGCTTTTCCCAGCAGGTTGGAGCAGCCTAACAGAACCTCGGGCACCTGTCCTATAGAGCCTGTGAGAAGCGAGCGCACAGAAATTCGTAGGCTCGCCGCACTTGGCGGAATTTCTCCGAAGCATCTTGGCTGCCTTGGTTCTTGTCCTTGGTGATTGTCCGGGCTGAGCTTAGACGGCCTGAAAACGCGTCAACTTTAAGGGATGTCGAAACAAAAATGAACAAAGAACTGGGAGGGACTTAGCGCGGAACCTAAGCACAAATGGCAACTAGCTTTCCCAACGTGCTGCTTCGTGGCCGGGTGGTATTGCAGCGCCAACTTGCGGTAGGCAGCACGAACATCTTCCACCGTGGCTCCAGACTGGAGGCCCAGGGTTGCAAAGTATTCAGAAGATATATCCTTGGAGATCCGCTGCTCACGACGCGGCGGTGCCTTCGCAGACGGTGGCGCTGGCCTTGAGGGTGGGGTCTGTGGGGGCCGGTAGCTATCAGCAAACTCCTGGAACTCGCTGCTCGTGACGAAGATGCGGCTACGAATCTGCGGGCCAAAGTCGAACATTGTGGGCACAAAGTTGGGCATCTGCTCGGACAGCCCAGGTTTGGGAGCTGCCCGCCTACCCTCAGCTTTGGGCGGGTCGACAGCGGCCTCGGCCTTGGGGGTCTCGGGCGGCCTTGCTGTCCCGGCGGACCAGGTTGCAAATCCCATGGTCGTGGCAAAGGGTGCTTCCCAGAGCGGCTTCGACCGCGCTCGAGCGACTGCTGCGAGGATCTTGGCCACACCCTCGTGGCCCTCACTGCTGGCAAAATCCAGGGCGGTGGAGCCCGAGTCTGTTGCCTGGGCCACATCCGCCTGGAAGTCCAGAAGCAACTGGGCCACGGCCTTGTTGCCATAGCATGCGGCTTCCATGAGTGGGGTCTCCTTGTTGAGCAGATCGGAGGTGTTGGGGTCAGCGCGGCCCTTCAGCAGGCAAGACACCAATTCTAAGGCATCTTGACCGGGTTGGTCCAGCGCTTGTCGGACCGCCAAGAACAGAGCTGTCTCGCCAAGCATGTTTTTGGCCTCCAAGTCCGCACTGCAGTACTGAAGGTAGGAAAGAACTGTGGCACCTTGCTCACAGGATACACTGGCCGCCAGGTGCAGGACAGTATTCCCATCGGAATTTCTGCGCTGCAGCAGATCTTTTCTGATGCCTGGCGTGACTTGCAGAATCTCTTGGACTCGAAAATCGTTGCCATTTCTGACTTCTCGGGTGAGGGCTGCGTGCGCACTTGCAAGCACCGCTTCATCAAGCTGCAGCTCGTGCTCGCGTGATTCCGGAGGAGCCTCTCGAAAGCTTGGGTTGCCACCAGCTGCCTTCCCTGGCAAGAATGGGATGAACATCTGGCCGTCTGGCTGAGCGCCCGGACGCTCTACCCCCTTCTCAGGGCGTACCAATCGGTGCATGTCCTTCCTGTCAAAGTTCGGCTGAGAAGATGAAGCCTGGCTCAGGGTTTGGCTCCCGTCGCCTTCCCGCTGCAAGTTCAGGAAGCTGACTACCTGGGGTATCTCGCCCTGTCGCACTCCGCGCACCATGCGTTTTATTGAGTATTGAGAGAGGGGTGCGATCGCTGGCTACTGGTGGCGCCCCTGTTGAAGGCAGCGGTCCATGGCTTCTGGATGCACAGCACTGGCTGAGGTGTACGACTTGTGCAGCCGTCCTATCAACGATGGCGGTGGCATTTCTGACTTATGCATCCAATGGCGGCTGAAACAACTGCTCCCAATTCCTTTTGCTCCTAGTCTCCGAGCCTGTAGGGAATCTACGAAGTCGTCTTGGGGCTCTGCAACTGAAGACGTGAGGGTTTCGGGTGGGAAGGCTATAGTGATTCAACCACACAGGCATGCTGTACCCTCAACCCGCTGAAAGTGCTCGGCAAGGCACACGCTGAAGAGAAGCGAGGTGGCGATCCCGCCGGTAAGGCGGCCAATCAGGAGCATGCCCAGTGACCTTTCCAACGCAAAGCAGTTATGCAAGCAGGCATGATGAAAATCAAAACACCAGCATGGAAGCCCGGTTTTTAAAGGTAGTTCCACCTAGTAGATGCCCCCAGAAATCCCAAAGCTTTGCATGGCGATCCCCTGTGACCCTGAACACAGCTAAGACTTTCCTCCTCTGCATTCCTCTGCCTCACCTCATTTACTGGCCGCTGCGAACCCTGTCGACCTGTGTGATTCATGTTTCTCAATAAACAGTGTGCGCTCCAGAGCCCCCATAGCCCCAATGTGTGCAACGAGATCTCCTTGCAAAGCTATAGAACTGTAGAACATGTGGTAGGCTCCTTTAATATTATCCTGCATCGCTTTCTGAACGACAGGTTGTGTAGGTGGGCTTTAGGTGAGCATGCTCATGCAAGTTCAATGCAAGTAATCAGTTTGCATGGTGATATTTATAGTAGAAATTCCAACGGCACATCCCCATGCAAGCTGCACGGCGACGAACGGCGGTCAAGAACGGAAGCAGCCAGAAGGAATGCTTTACATTCTTTAGGAAAGAACATGTGTGCGTGAAGTGCGTAGAATGCATGAGGCCTCAGATGACCTGAACTCTTGGTTTCAGTGAGGGGAGCTCAGGCCAAAAGAAGGGCTCTTCAGAACACAAAGGGGGCCCCGGGGAACAATGAAACCAACAATCAAGAAGCTGCTCTGGCTAGGTGCAGTCCAAGTTCTAAAGCAGATGAAGAAGTGCAACCGCTCATCCAACATCCCCAATCCGCATTGGACGTGATGTGGCTTTTGTGGGCTCTTGGGCTTAACTCGTGGGTACAGTATTCAGCCTTCATGAACTATGTGAGGATTCTCATGGGGACAAATAGCTAATGATGTGCATGTTCATGCTCACGAACAACACTTGCAATAGGTGTACTAGCTACACTCGCCTTACTGGTTCCAAAGTTTCCTTACTAGCACTTGCTTTCGCAAACTGGGAGGCTGTTCTGCATGGAAATTCTTGTCGACCGTGTCACCAAAAAACGAGCCTTTCTCAATATGTGTATTGCAATGGTTAATGTTCGCTGTCTGCAATCTTTGACTACTAGTGCCGCATTCATATTCATTTTCACATGCTTTAGGAATTGCGAACCAGTTGTTAAGGCGGAGCTTTAAGAACTTTGAAGGCTCCGGCCTGTAGCAGTTCAAGAGCTCTTGAAAATCACAGAACAGATCGATAGGTGTCACTGCGCGTTTATCAGTTCAACCACTGATTTCCAGTTCCCAATGTTGACTACCGCTCCCTTTCCTTCCACGAGCCGAAATGGTGTCTACAATTGCGCTCGACTTTCAGTATACATCTAGACCACCGCTGCTTTCCACACATCCATAAACGAGTGAAAAGCAGAAAACAGTGGCCCAGTCACTTGAAATGCTTGGTGAGGCATGACCTTGGTCGCGGCGACAGTGCTAGGTCAGTCGAATCTGAAGCCACTTGTCTCTAATTGTCTCCAAATGTTTCCAAATGTCTCCCATCTTCTGCGGGGCGCAAGCAAGCGCAAGCAAGCGCAAGCCGCTTCCTGGCCGTCCTGACCTATCCCCGACCCCCAAGCCTTAGGCCGTCGCAAGAAATAGAGCACGCAGTAAAGGGCCTCAGAAGACAAGGAAGATCCCTTCGGAACTTCGATAACAAGGAAGCACAGATGGGGGCATTGAAAATTTTGCTGGGGCGCAGCGAATCTTCGGCGTCCATACTTGTCAGCCATTGACCCAATGAAGGTGCCAAAAATGGCGCTGCTACCGAAGCCCGCGACGAACAGCGTTGCATTGTCCTCGCGCGAGAAGCCTTTGGCATTGACAAGCCAAGCCCAACAGGGTTCAACTGACGTCCATGAACGCACCAAACATTGCCAAACATCCCGAAACCCTAGTATCCCGTACCAGTAAGTCTGTCAGAACTCGGCAATCTCTCTTGATCCACAGATGTCCCAGTGCATCTCCGAGGGGCCGTAAGACGCATAGAGAGCATAGACAAAGGGCCCTTGAAGCCAGTCCGCCATCATGGCACTCAGGTAGACCTACCAGGTCATAAGCATCTCAAAAGGCTGTACCAGCAGCTGCTTCCAGTTCAGCTTGGTCGAGCGGCTGAAAGGTAAATCCTCTGCAGTCGGCTCAGGCCGTCAGTCGATCCTGTAGACACCTTACGGCTGGCAGACTCCAAGCTTGGCATGAACGTGGTGCCCAGCAGCATCCAAAGAAAAACTGAGGCCCAATCCAGGCCCTTGAGCATCTGAATGCTGGACCGGTCGATGACAATAACCAGCGTGGTCGCAACCAAACCCGCCTCAAAGCACGAACTTCGAAGGACCTCTGATGCTCTCTGGCAGCTTGGCATGTTCACCCCCTCGGCCCCACTCAGCCCCACGCACAGATGCAGCCATAGAGATACGCTGTGGAAAGCATTGCACCACAGGCTAAACTTGCACGAGAACAGAGTGTCACATGCTTTTTCTGCAAGGCCGTGGTAGGGTGTTCTGCTTCTCTGCTTGGCTTGAGCCCATGAAAAGTTCCAGAGACCGTCTGCCAGGTCAGCCAGCATGATGTGTCGATCTCAGGCCAGTGAGCTTGCAAGATACCGCCATCAAACCTAAACACGATGCCCCAACATGTCACACTTCACTGGCACCCAGGTGCGCTCCACGTGAGAGCCCACTGACATGAAGTAGATGTCGGAAGCCCGACTGCTTCTCGGCAGCCACGTGCCTCGCTCCATGTTCTGCATGTTCAGGGTATTCAGGCTCAGGTTCGGACAGGGACGGGCTCAGATTCATGTTGCACTGGCTTTTGTGGAGCCAGGGTCTATAATCACAAGTTTTGAAGAATTGAGCGGCCGTGTTTGTTACCCCACAAGTCAGAAGCTATCCCAGCCTCCTAGCACAGAGGTTACTCCACGTGCGCAGAAGTTGTCTCAGAGGCGGTTCCCCGAAACCACAGCGATATTTCTGAGCTACGATTTCAAAACAATTTCGGACTTCAGACCAACGTACCTTCGAGATTGCCTCTTCCCAGCACCCTCAACATACCCCAAAAAACATCTTCAACTGTTGGTCCCCCCACGCAGGGCACAGGTGCAGCTAGATTATAGAGAGCCTTCACCGCCGCACCTTCCAGAAGGCATGTTCCAAGGACCCCTCGCAGAAGCCAAAAAGATCTTCGAACGGTGGGCCCGCCGCAGGGAGCTTTGATGTCCCGGGGCCCAAACTTGCGGCCAAACAGTGCGACGGAGACTGTTCGTTAAGCGGCTGACCAGTAACCAGAAAGCCACGCCAACACATCGGCAAAGGTTGTGAGGTGTGCTCAGTGCTTTTTGTTGGGGCTGTGGGCCTCAATAGTGACGGACCGACGCCCAGCCCACTAAAGCACTGAGGCGAGCAACGCCATATACGCCAGAGAGAGCTCAACTTCTGTTTCATGGTTTGCGGTCTTTGGCACGGCCCCTCACAAGCCATCTGAGAACATAGCCCATGTGACACGGTACGAGTATCACAGTTTTGCAGCGTCCCGCAGGGCACGCAGGGCACTGCGGGTTTGGGGCAACTTCCGTGTTTGTGGAGCCAGGGTCTATAATCACACAAGTTTACAAAATCACACCACCGAAGACCCCAAACAGTCAAAGGCACATCAAAGAAACAGCGGAGACGACGGGAGACAAAGGGAGACGGGGGAGACAAAGGGAGGCGAGGAGCACAGCAACCCGGCAAAGCCACCCACATGAAGGGAGACAAAGGGAGACAAAGGGAGACAAATGGAGGCGGAGCCCAGGAACCCGGCAACAGTCCTCAGAATGTCGGCAATCTTTAAATGAATTTAGAACCCCAACAGTAGACTGCTTACTCTGCGAACTCAGTTGGTGAGGTCACCTGCTATGGGCAAAAGATTTTTCTTCGGGGATTATTGTTGCTTAAAGGTTTGTGTTTGGGGTTTAGGGTTTGTCTGACTCCTAAGTAGCTGTGTGGAGAATCCACTGAGCCCGCCCAGTTCCATCTATAAAACCTTGTTGGGTTTTTCATTACGAGCTGAGGCCCCCAACAAATTTTGTCATAGGCAGGTAACCCGCGGGCAGCCCAATTCGGGGGGGGCTCCCGGGTGCATTTCTTTATAGAGGGTCCCAGACTTGTTTTGGGGAGGGGGGGCAGGTTCTATTCATAAAAGCCCGTGCAACATTACGACTAATTTGGCTTGTCGTGTGCCCAGGCTGACATTCCGTGCAAGAGGACGGATGGGGTGAATGTCCCCCCGGGCATTCAGTGTCCGTGCGCACGCGTGTGCATGTGCGTGTAGCTGTGCGTGTGCGTTAGCTGCGCGTGCACCGGCACGAGTGCGCATGTGCATGTGCATGCTTGTAGGCTTGAAGACTTCCGCACACGGTCAGTTTCCTGAATTCCACATCCGTGTGCCCCCATATGGCAGAAAGTTTCTCTTGCGGCCAAGGTGCCAAACAAAGAACAACATGGAAACCATCACCTCAGGTCGCAGATGAGAATGGTGTCAGAATAGGTTCTCAACACCGAGACCTTTGTTTCCACCTTGTGTGTGTCAAGGTGTAGAAGCCGAAGAAGAGCTCTAGGCAATTGCCAGAAACGCCACAGGTGCTACGCATTGCAAACCCGCTCATCCAAACCAGCTCAACGAGGCCCCCACAACATAAACCATGGCCAGGCTGAGAGTGTATTCCTCAAAGGCTGCAGCGACCCGGTTTCTGTCGATTCATGGCGTTTTGTTGACAAAAGAGCTCCAGGCCAGGAGCACCTTCTCACTCTGCGAAAGCACCTGCTAAGGATATCCTGCTCGACAACCGGATCTGCCCAAATGGGGACGTGCTACAAACGGGGACACAACTGACCACCTTGCACGCTGCCATTCAAACTCGATGCCAGGGCGCCACCACCCCGTCCACCACCTGCTTTGGACTTAGCCCAGTCCTCAGCACATCTCAGCACATGCAAACTTCAGCGGTCCCCGTGTCCCCCTCGACACCTCGAACTTTGTCGAACTTCCCAAAAGCGGCCCTTCAGCCCCAGAGCCCAGGCATGCAAGGCCGCGCTGCATCTGCAGAAGCTGCTTGGAATCCCGGTGCCCGATTTGCTCCAACAGCCAGCTCTGCATCCTCAGAGGGAAGGGCTTGGGAGGAGTGTCTTGATCTCGGCTCTCTCAGTAAGGAGGACCTGTCCTGTTGATAAGCATCAACATGAGCGCCGGGATAGCTATGCGAATCAAGTGCATCACGATGGCTCCTCAGCTTTGCCGCCAGGACAAGAAGCTTGACACAGCCACGACCCAGCACCTACGCCTGAACCGTTGGGCGGGAGGTATTCTCCCCGTTTGTGCAGGCTTGCTGGGTTCGTGCCTCGAGTGTTTCAGCCGGGTCTGTTCAAGAACTCCTGGCATCCCTGCACAGATCTGCCACCCGGGCGCGCTGATGCATGTGGCGCCAGGCGATTGCAAAAACAAGGGCCTGAATACATAAGGACGACCGAGAAGGGAGCGAAGTGCACACAGGGACTCAGATCTGCGTGAGAGCTTTTGCGCTCTCAGTTGTTCTCTGCCTGGAAGTGCAGGAGGAACTTTGCTTTCCCAGCGTCAGGAGTGCCTCAGTTCAGTTCAGTTCTGAAAAGTGCTCTCTTCTTCTTCTTCTTCTTCTTCTTCTTCTTCTTCTTCTTCTTCTTCTTCTTCTTCTTCTTCTTCTCAGCGAAGAGGCCCCCAAGCGGGGACCCCGGCCGCGCTGGCCCGCTGCATCTGTCTCGTGTGAAAGTGGACCCTTCTGTGTTAGGAGAAGCCCGGTATGGTAAAAGCCCCCGGCTCTCTCTCTCTCTCTCTCTCTCTCTCTCTCTCTCTCTCTCTGTCTCTCTCTCTCACCCAAAAAAAGCAAAGGGACCCTGCCAAAACAGCAGAAGGCTCGCCCTAAAAGCCTCCCTTTAAATTTGCTCTCGAAACTATGCCCTGAATATTTTTTCAAGGGCGGTGGAGAGGAAGCCACTATGAGCCTGGAAGCCCCTCAGGCCCTCAGGCCTGACGACTCAAAGCCTGAAGCCGCAGCCGCAATTGTGGTGGGATTGGGGGGGGAAAGCAAACCAAGCACGACATTACTGCAATCGCTCGTTTGCCTCGCGCCGATGCCTGTAGACTCTGTAGACAAAGGTTGAAAAGTCAAAAGGGAAGCCTGTGGATGGCTTTTTCCATTCTTGCCTTTCTTGCCGCCCCCCACCTCCTAACCTAGGGATCCCTGCAGAGCTCTGAGACTGCAACCTTTCCCACTGTCGCAACCTTAGAAGTCCTGAGCGCCGGGCGCAGTGTGAGGGTGAGGCCGATGCCGAGGCACAGTAGGAAGGTCACCAGGCCCACACCGAACCCCAGGCCTGGATGCGGTTTAATACATGCTTCTCTGCTCTGGTTTGTTGCATTTTGTTGCTGTCATGCGAAAGCACCGCTCCCTAGCCTCCCCCCTTGGAGTCCACGGGCGGTCTTGCGGGCTTGCCAGCTGGCGGCCATGGAGCAGACCCCCAAAGACGGTGCAGAGCCTGCCAGGGCTTACGAACGAGCTCTTGCTCAAGTTCCCAAAAGGGTCCTTGAGGGTTTGTGTTTCGGGTTGAGGGAGCTGTCATTCTGCTTGGCCAACCGATCTAGCTGAAGCAGTCCCGCAAGCCACAAAAAAAGCCTGCCCAGCATCTGCCTCGGCCATGTCCGGTTCCTTGCCAACCTCTGGCTCAGACCAAACCTCACTGGCTTACGGCTTACTGGTGGGGATGCTTGGGCTTTTCATGCTTTGTTGCAGTGTGTCACATCAGAGAAAAACACTTTCAGGCTCTCTCGCTCTCGCACTGCCCAGCTGCTGCGCCCGATTCTGTCCCTTTACCTTGAAAAATTTACTGCTTTGAAAGGGCTGAGTTGGGGACATCTTCGCTGCCTTGCGTGGCAAGGCAACAAGTGGCGGCGAACTTCTCTCGCGTTCGTCAATCGGACGTCAGTTTAGGTCAGTGCTATCTCAGCTTGTCAGCGCGAAAGCTGGGTTGGTAGGGTTTCCTGCCGTGAAGCCTCAACAGTTCATCTCACGACGGCCTGGCACGTCGCTCATTCCCATGAAGCCTTGCCCCATCGCATTGATCGCAGCGGCCTGCATGCGCAGTGCCGCTCATTGATGTAGGCCGGAACCAAACCCATCCAAACCCATCGGCAAACTTGGTTTGGCTAGCAGATGCTAGCAGAACCTCATGCGTCTCGAAGCCCGTGCCGAAGAGGCATGCCAGCACACCGAGCACACCTCAGCTGGGCCAAAGCATTCCACGACGCGAGTACGCCTGACTGTGTAACAAGCATACGGCAACAGCAACTTCTCAGGCCCAGGCGGGCGGTCATTGACACCCGGCCGCAGCCCCAGGAACCATGCTCTTTGACAAAAATAAAACCAGACAACTAAGCTATGCCGAGCCGACAGATGGGTGAGGTTGGGCGGCGGAGGTTCGAGCATCTCTTCCTTTATCTCTTCCTTTCTGTACTCATGCAGCTCGTGCAGACCCAAACAGATATGACATGGGGGGTTGCGTTCACCTGAGTGGCTTGTGGGGTTCACTGAGGCACCGCACTTTCCGCTCTGAGCAAGCCCCAGCCTTTTGGCACTGCGAGTCCTGGGAGGACCCCGAGTCCACAGAAAAAGATCAACACAATTGGAACCAGCAGTGGTCATGATAGATCGAAACCTTAAACGTGGCTTTAGGAGTGCAAAAGCCTTTTGGAGGCACAGCTCGCGCTCCTAAACCCCGAAACCTGAAGGGTGTGCCTTGCCAGTTTCGACTGCTCGGACCGCTGGCAGGCCTGCAGGAAGACCAGGCAAGACAACCCATGAGGGCGAAATGACATGACATGAACATGCAGAGAATCACTTCCAGGATAGCTAGCGCTTTGTCCGTATTGCTCTGGTATCTGACTAGCTGTGCCGCATCGCCCGGAAGATTGTGGCTGCCTGCCCGTAATGCCACCCGAAAAGAGCGTTACACCTAAACTGCCTAAACTCTGAGTCCCTAAAACCTGAACCCACCAAGTGCTTCAGCGCGTGTGCAAGGCGGCTTCTTTGAAAGCATGACGCGAATACAGGGCACGCCCATCGGCTAGACCGGTCCTGAAAAACCCACCACGTGCCTCCTCCCAGGAGCGCTTGTAGTAGTTGATCCAGGACTGTGCCGACAGCAGCTCCGATTCCTGGCAAGCTTCGGATCGGCTTGATACTCTAGGCTCTGCTTTAAGGCTTTAGGGGTTTCGCGCTCAGCTGAAATTGAGAGATTCCCTGCCGGACCATTGTCAACACCAGCTCTGAAGAAGGAGGCATCCAAGCATGTGCTGGAAATGAAGGCTCCAGTCCGGGCTCGGTCGGTCAAGCCGCCGAGCACTCCCTAAGAGGACCTAAACAATTCAACCGTGGAAGCTGGAAGCTGCGGACCTTGAAACTAAACCCCAGTAGTCAAGCCTCAAAACTCCATGTGCCCTCTTTGTGAACCTTTTGAACCCTTTGAACCCATTGACCGTCAGGCCTTGATACCTGAGCAAAACCCAGAACCCCCTGAAGGTCTTGCTTTCGGGTCACTACATGCCTGTCTTACTACACCAGCTACAATCAGCTTCTTTTGCGGGCTGATGTTCAGGCATGTTCAGGATTCGGGGTTGAAAGGGCGTAAGGGTTCGGCTTCTAGGATTCTTTTTGAAAGGTTTGGCTAGGCTTTAGAATCCGGAGCGTTCGGATTTGAGAGCGCATTATGCCCGGGTACCTTCTCGGTGTTGCTCGTCTTGCTCTGAGCCAGCTCCATTTGGAGGCTGTGGACCTCGGTTTCCGCTTAAACCCCACCCACCCACACACACACACAAAGCCCTCTGCAAGCCTTTAGATACACCCGAGATGTACCAGGCACATCTAGGCGCCTCGTTCTCCAGCTCCACCAATTTCTCCTCGACCGACTTGGAATTCACCACCTTCAGAGGGCACGTTTTGTAAAACAAGGGCACTTTGAAGCAATCTAGGTTTGATTCATGGCCACAACCATTACGCAAGGTGCGATCGCCGCACTTCAGCTGTCTCTTTTAGGGCAATTCCATGGCACGAACTGCAGCTCGGATTGGAGACTGGAGCCAAACAACCGACGCCTACAGTCAAAAGCTTACAACTGCTGAGCCCCCGACCAAGACAGTCCCCTCTTAACATCTGCATGAGGCTCAGTCTGCTATTGCCGTTACTGCCTGCCGCCTGTCATGCCGAGGCCAATACAGGCTTGGTCTGGATCTTCTTTGCAGAGGCCGCAAAATTCCTGGCAAGAGTGGGCACGGCAGGTGCTTGCGGGGCGGGTTGAGAGTAAAGCAGGGCTGAGCTTCGAAGTCAAAACAGAGGCAAATGCAGCAACCAGACACTGCAGCCAAGTGGCAGTGTGGACCTGCAGCGCCAGAAGATGAAAATAGTGCCATGTCACTTCAACAGCTACCTACAAAGGGGATTCAAATCTCAGAACGAAAACCTTGGCTCCCCATATTCTCCCCGCTTTCTTCCTCACGACAGTGCAGCACCGCCGGCACACGTCTTTTTTTCCACCTCCTCCCCCCAAACCCTCAGCCAACCGGATGTTGCAGCAAAGATACATGGAGTCCTCGAAAGCCGATTGGCAGGGGGACAGCCTGAAAACAAGTCAGCGCGCCATGCTACGGAGGCCGGACTAGACTGCAGTGCCGCCCTCAGTATTCTGCACGAAACAGCACTGATGGCCAGCTGAGACCTTGGCGTGGCCACGACTGCAGTGCGCGAATTCCCCTGCAAAGCCTGTGAGAGCAGCATCGTGACCTCAGGCCATCGGGGAAAGTGCAGACCCCAATGCTCCAATGCTACTACTACTTGAAGATCCCCCTCAAGCCCTCAACGCAAATTCCTGGACCCCAAGGCGTTTGGCTTTTCCCAGAAATGCCAAAACCATCTCAAACCTGCACTAGAAATACGTCCTGTTCTAAACTTTTGCACACGTCAGCCCCGAGCCTGAGCTAGAAAAGACCGGAAGAGGCTAGAATAGCGGCTAGAATCGGCTAGAAGGGGCCGACCTTGGAGTTCCGGAAGTCAGAGAGATTGCCGCGTTCGATGCCGCCTTCCACTCAGCAAGGCGAGTCCCCAACTGCGGCACAGCACAGCCAGTGCACAGCATCCAGAGTTTCCTCTCTTGCGCGCCCTTTCATTCAATTCATTCCAATTCCCAAGCCCAAAGTTGCACTCGACGCTTCAAATGCACTGCACAAACGGACTCACCATTGCTCGGTCCTCGAGACTCTAACAAAAGCAGGGCCAAAGAATCGCCCTTAAGGAATCCCTTTTTCCTCATCTCAAACCTGTTCTGTTCGTTGTGTCTTGGATCTGAAGGGCGAGAGGCCTTTGTCAGGCTCTGCACAACGCCGCACAATTCGGATACTCTTACATCTTGTTACCAGCCGGCTCCCTTCCAGTGGCCTGAGGAGATCTTGGTGATGAGGTGCGCGAGGTGGAAAAGCGAGGTATTGATGAAGCACATCTCCTTATACCTTGGACGGCAGTTTGCTCCCATGTTTCACGCAAGCGATGCGGAAAGGTCTCACTCGTACAAGCGTACAAGGCAAGCACAGTCATTCCCAACAGCCAGGGCTGAAACTGCATAGCGCCCGGGTGATTCTGTAAGCGCTCGCGATCCTCACGTCCAGCAAGGTCGACGAAGGTGACTGCACCTGATTCTTCCGATTTATTATCTGGCCGGCAGGCTTTTTGAGGGCTCACCAGAGAACCAGAATGGAATATTTTCAGCTGCTTCAAGTTGGGAGCCCTGCTTTGGCAGGAGCTGATGGGCGCTTCTTGGATGGTGACACGCCGCTCCCTGCCGGGACCTTCCTTTGGAGCCTCAGGAAGCTGCTCATACCTTGGTGATCACGTTGCTTGAGACAGAGAGTGTGTGTGTGTGTTCAAAGCAGCTTCACAGCTCACAAGCCTGCTTTCAAGGGTTCAAGGGCCCGGGCTTAAAGTTGAAAAAAGCGTGACTCCTGGAGGATCGAGAGTTCCTAAGCCGACGGCTGACGTCCCCGGAACCGACTCATCAGGCCAATCTCACTTGCCAGCTCCTCACGACTGTCCCCCCCCATAAGCCCGGCACATGGTCGTGGCCTGGAACAGAACATGGCAACCGTTGGCAACCCATATGCATGTAACGCCGGCATTGCGCAGCTTTGGCGTCTCCGTCACCAGATCCTTGTGAAGATGCGACCCTTGCGAGCGTTTTTGCTTCAAACTGTCGGCCGAGCCTTGTTTGTCAGCTGTTGCTCTTGCGCTTCGTGCAGCCGCACGGCGGCACATTTTTAAGCCGTCGCAGGAAATACGTAGAAGATTCATATCTCATGAAATCTAAACTCTCCGGAGAGACCGAGACGCGCTTCGGCTGCACGAGTGAACCAAGTGAAAGATCTGCGCGAATTTATCTCTTTTTGGCTCCTACTGAGACTCACTGAGATGCTGAGAGATGCCCCATGGGAAGACGGTGGGGGGGGGGAGAAAGTTGAAAGTTGGGGAATTGGGGACCGATGGCTCACGGGACTGTAGTGTTCCAGGAATTCGAGGCCTCAAAGCATCAGGGGCGGAAGATCTTTGCTGGAGACAAAGCGGAGTGACGTGCAAAAGGACGTGCAAAAGGTCACAAGCAGGGTCATGAAGAAACAACAGGAATGAGAAAAACCCGGCTTTGTTAATAGCAGAGATCTTCGCTTTGCTAACACGCCATACAGGAGCAATGGTCCTGATAAGGCCAGGGCTACAGCAAGGCAGTTCTCCCGTTTCTCACCACCACGTTCGATAAGACCCGAGAATCTCCTCTCCCCGATGGTAAATCCGCAATGTCACATCGTGAAGGGATGAGAGCCAGCCGGAGAACTGCATCTAACGGCAAGGAAGTCAGGTATCTCCGGGACTATTCTTCGAACCTTTACGAAAACAGCATCGGATTCCAACAGATAAGCATCTCGGCTTAGGTAGCTGATGATTGGAATTTGAACGTTGGCATTCTGCCAAATCTTCGTCCCGCAGCGGCAACCTCCGGAACAGTTCGTCAACCATCTGCACCATGCACAGCTGGAACTGCCTAGCGCGGAATGACTGGCATTGGAGGTGCCATGGCATGAGCACCGGGAGGGGTCTGGAGCGGTCGAGGCGGCCCCGCCATCCCAGGATAGTTTAGCATGTGGCCGTATGGCTGCTTGGCCACATTGGCCACCTCATCTGCTTCGTCGATGGCCTCAGGGTCTCGGAGCTTTGCTGGCTGCGTGTGGTCGATGCTGAGGATGTTCGGGTGAATGGGGTAGTGGGGCAGCAGCACCTTGACGGGATTTTCGCCGTGGCCTTCTGCCGCGGCCTGCACCTTGCATGCCTCTGACCCGAGTGCTTCTGATATAGCCTTAGACACTTTCAGCCCGCCGTAGCACACGCTCGGCGGCAGGGTCGGAATGGTGGGTCCACTGAGCAGGCTGTTGAGCAATGATAGAGCTTGCACCAGAAGGGCATCCTCATCGGAAGCTGCATGCTCTGCTCTGTGGTGGAACGTGCGATTCGAGGCATCCGCAAAGGCGACGGGTGCGGCCCCTGAAGGTGTCGGTGGGCCACTGGCCAGCACCGGAACGGCTGGCATGCCTCTGCTAGGAGTGGGCGGCACCGAAACTGGCGTCACTGGCCAAGACGCATAGGCCGATGGGGCAGGCAACAACTCTGAGAGTTGACATGGCCCAGGCTTCTCTGAGTGCGGTGGGGCGGGCATCGCTAGCAGCGCCGGCGCTGCAACGTGGGGCGCCCCGCGTGGGCTGCCACTGCCACCGGGTGGATCCAAGATCCCAGGGGGTGGGCCATGCGGCATGCGCAGGTCAACCTCCAAGGCATCGTCCAGACCTCCGGTAGTCTGTGGCGTGGCAAGGTCATCCAAACTCAAGGACCCACTGCCGCTGGCAGTGCTCCCCGAAAAGGATAGCCGTCGCGGCTTCAAGGGTCTGGCAATCAACATCGCATCTTCTTGGCTCTGCACTTCAGGCCGCACCACGGCATTCGAGGCTGTGTGCTCGAAGTCGCAGTTGTCGCCCTTCTGTCGAAGTTCCGAAGTCATAGTGTCCACCTCCCCCCAAAAGCAGAGCCGTGCGATGGGAGACCACAACGCCCCAAGCTTGAGCACTACACTTGAGGCTAAAAGTGGCCCATGTAGGGTTTACAGCGTGGGTTTGACATGGGTTCCTGCAGAATAGCACGGCCAGCACTGCAATCATGGCCCCCTCCCCTCCCTCCCCCAACGGGCATCCCCACAGCGACAGTGCGCATCTGGTTGCCAAAGTTCAGGAGTTCCATCACTTCCTCTGCAGAGCTCACGACGGACCTCGGACCCAACCAGCCGACCAATAGCCTTGTTTATATAGCTTCAGCAAAGCAACAATGTCAGAAGCAAAGCACGCCAGCAGATGCACTTTGGAAAGCAGCAAAGCAAGGTTGAACAGCACCTGTTCTTCCTGAGCTAGAGGCAGCGTCAAGCCTTCAATACGAGCTCCATGCTTCGGATGGCCTGGGGCCACGGAGTAGCCGCAACACCCGGAATACTTCAGCAACGTGGTGCGACCCAAGCAATCGGAAACATGGCTCTTCGCTCACAAACCAAGCCCAGACCCGGGGGGGAGGGGGGTCGGATACGAGTGTTCTAAAATGCTCTCAAAACCCCAAAGCCAGAACATGCCGGAGGCGTTGCAGGACGCTGCGGCTCGGACAGTGCACTCTCTTGGGCTTCTGCGACTGGCCCTGGGCAGGATGTTGGGATGGGCTCAGATAGACGAAGTCGGTGAAGTCATAAGTAGTGCGGTATCTTGGCGAAAGACACCAGGCTGCAGTAGGTCCCTGATCTGCTCGTTGTATACCTGGCAAAAGCCAGACCCGTAAACAGTTTTGGGCGGGGTGTGCTCGCGCCACCTTTTCTGCAGAAAGGGTCACTCGCCTTAAGAGCGCAACATTGCAGTTCTGACTTTCCCCAGATGCAACCCCATGTAAAGCCGAAACCCTAAAAGCCCTTGTCGATCTTTTCGGGCCTCGAAAAACTCGCATGTGCATCGCCAGGTGTCTGGTCGCGGCCTCCGAGGCTGAGGGGCCGAGGGGTGTGTCAAGGCCTATGGGAAAACATCCTCCTGCACATGTGGGGCACATCCGCATGGCAGGGACAACGAGAGTTCAGCTGCAAAACACATGGTAAGGCAGACTGTGAGCGAGTGAGCGAGTGAGCGAGTGAGCGTGAGAGCGTGAGAGCGTGAGCGTGAGCGTGAGAGCGTGAGCGTGAGAGCGTAAGAGCGTAAGAGCGTAAGAGCGTAAGAGCGTGAGCGAGTGAGCGTGTGTGTGTGTGTGTGTGTGTGTGAGTGTGAGTGTGAGTGTGAGTGTGAGTGTGAGTGTGAGTGTGAGTGTGTGTGTGTGTGTGTGTGTGTGTCAGTGTGTGTGTGTGAGTGTGAGTGTGAGTGTGTGTGTGTGTGTGAATATGTGTGTGTGTGTGAATATGGTGTGTGCGTGTGTGTGTGTGTGGTGTGTGTGTGCGAGTTTGTGTTGTGTGTGTGTGAGTGTGTGTGTGTGTGAATGTGTGTGTGAATGTGTGTGTGAATGTGTGTGTGAATGTGTGTGTGTGAATGTGTGTGAATGTGTGTGTGTGTGGTGTGAATTTGTGTGTGAAATGTGTGTGTGAATGTGTGTGTGAATGTGTGTGTGTGAAATGTGTGTGTGTGTGAATGTGTGTGTGGTGTGTGTGTGTAATGTGTGTGTGTGTGTGAATGTGTGCGTGAATGTGTGTGTGAATGTCTGTGTGAATGTGTCTGTGTGAATGTGTGTGTGAATGTGTGTGTGTGTGTGTGAATGTGTGTGTGTGTGTGAATGTGTGTGTGTGAATGTGCGTGTGTGTGTGTGTGTGTGTGTGTGTGAATATATGTGTGTGTGTTAATATGTCTGTGTGTGTGAATATGTGTGTGTGTGTGTGAATGTGTGTGTGTGTGAAATGTGTGAATGTGTGTTTGTGTGTGTGTGAATATGTGTGTGTTTGTTGAATGTGTGTGAATGTGTGTGTGTGAATGTGTGTGTGTGTGTGTGTGAATGTGTGTGTGTGGTGTGAATGTGTGTGTGGTGTGTGTGTGAATGTGTGTGTGTGTGAAATGTGTGTGTGTGAATTTGTGTGTGAATGTGTGTGTGTGAATGTGTGTGTGAATGTGTGTGTGAATGTCTGTGTGAATGTGTGTGTGTGTGTGAATGTGCGGGTGAATGTGTGTGTGAATGTGTGTGTGTGTGTGCGTGTGAATGTGCGTGTGAATGTGCGTGTGAATGTGTGTGTGAATGTGTGAATGTGTGTGTGAATGTGTGAATGTGTGAATGTGTGAATGTGTGAATGTGTGAATGTGTGAATGTGTGAATGTGTGAATGTGTGAATGTGTGAATGTGTGAATGTGTGAATGTGTGAATGTGTGAATGTGTGAATGTGTGAATGTGTGAATGTGTGAATGTGTGTGTGAATGTGTGTGCGCATGTGCGTGCGTGCGTGCGTGCGTGTGTGAGTGTGTGAGAGTGAGTGAGTGAGTGCGAACAAACAAAAAAGCATCTTGGACTGCAAGCTCTATTGGCTCACAGGCTTAGGGCAGCGAGAAGCTTAGCACCACATCCGCATAAACCAATAGTGCACGTGAGCGTGTGCGCGTGCGCGTGTGCTCATGCTCCCGTGCGCGTGCGCGCCCGTGCGCGTGCGCGCCCGTGTGCGTGCGCGCGCTTGCACGCGTGTCTGCGAGTGAAGATGCCCAGAAACTGCGGCTCGCGTGGCTCCACTGGGGATTGTGGTTGGGCACCTGCCTGGTTGACATTGGTTTACGGCAGGTTTTGAGTGGTTCAAGATGGTAAAGATTTGGTTCCGCGAGTGGTCAATCGAGGAGCTTCAAGAGCCTTCAAGAACTTCAATTAAAAATATTGCGACAGTTGGGGTTGCCTCGTCGACACTGCTGGAACTACAGCTGTAATGGCCTTACATGCTTTACCGTATGGCTGCCGATTCGTCTTCTGAGACCCCAACGCATCCTCGTGCTCTGAGAAGAGCTCCCAAAGGAAGCGCGGCAAAAGCCTGATGGCGGCCGTGCAAACATAAAAGCAATGTGTTGGCAGGGATCCCTCCTTTACACCCGTCGCTTCCCCAAACTGCACGCTGCCCATCGTTGCCCTCAACTCAACCCTCCTAGCCGATGGCTCTCAGGTCTCAGAGAAGAAAAGAGTGTTTGAGGGACAGAGCATACAATGAACTGCAAGCTGTGGAGAAAGAGAACACAATTTCCCAAAACACACACTTCCTCTCTCTCTCTCCGTCTCTCTGTCTCTGGGGTCGACGCCCTGCCGCCGCCCCACGGTTCGACCCGGCCGCATCCCCAAGCATGGTGTAGGTCCTTAAGGCGCTCAGAGCTGCTCAGAGCTGCTCTGTGGAATCTCCCTTGGGGCTCAGATGAGCTTCGGCTCGGGGCTTTGCGATGGCCCATGAGGCTTCCCAGGCCAAAAATGGTCTTAACGTGTCTCCGGCTTCTTCGCGCTTCTCCAAGAACAACAACAAATCATACAGCCCTTTTTGCATGTTTCAACCTCATTCTCTAAACTTCGTAAACCAGAACGAGCCTATGCTGCCTATGCTCAGGCAGCAGAGATCGGGCCAACGAAAGGCAATGCTATTCTCCCATACGTACCTTTAACTTGAAGTCAACCAGATAAGGCCCCGAGGCCATGTGTCCTAGCAAGATAGTGCTGGCTGAAGTTCTTTTCTCTTGCCCTGTTAAACAAAAAGGGTGAAAGGATGTGACAGGATGTGAGATTTTACGCCGGCGCTTGGCCAATGGCTAACTTGTATGAGCGAGCCCCCTTTTGCATCCAGGCTTGAGTGAGCGTGCCGGGAAAGAGCGCATGCTGCCCAGGTTCATTGTAAACCCATCGCAGACAAGCACACCAGATGAAGTAGACCGAAACACACGTGCACGTGCTTAGTTCTGCTGACTAATTAACAAATTAGCACATGCGTCACAGCATCATACATCGGAGTAGGTACAATATCGACAATATCAATCAAGAGCACATTAGAGCAATTTTGGAACATCTCGGATGCAAGATGGTGAAATTCTGCGCAATGCAACTCGTAGAGTTCGGATGTCGTGTTGAGGACATATATCCACGAGCAAGCCCTCAAAGCCTTACACCCCAGTTCAGCCCCGGCTTTTTCGCAGCAAGGTCTCTGGAGCCCTGAGCACCAAGACTCCAAACATCTCCAAAGCCCAGATTTCCTTGATTCATCCTAACCCCCGGAATTCCCCCCAATTATTGTTTACCACCCAACCACATCCCAAACTTGCCACTGGGCCGAGCTTCTTTCCCGACCCTGTGTGCCCATACGCGAAGACGCAGACGTTGTACCCCGTCCTCAGCCCCGCTTTGAAAGCGCTTGTGGCTTCGTTTTATGCACATCTCGCACAGCCTGTCTGAGGTCTGCTGGGTCTGATGTGTAGGGCTCATGGCTTCGACTCTCACACTTGAGAACTGGGTCCGCAAGGCCACGCGGCACTCTTTCTGAAGCATTGCTCGTTCTCAGTTTGGGGTCTGCAGACTCGGGCTCCAAACATGTTATCGAGACCAGACAAGCTCGGAGTTCCTAGGGGCACTCGAAGGTTCGGCTTACACTGAGTGAAACCTAGCAAACCGTATGGAGATGTTATTCTTACAGCTATCGCATCTATTCTGCCCGGGGCCACAACATCACCACACCCGAAATTACAAGCCTGAAAAGCTTAAAGTAAACACTCAGCCCTGAGGCCGGAAGCACAAAACCCTTACCCTCAACCACATCTTGGGCAAGGACAGCGACGCAGTAACTAGGCTGCGGCCGAAGTTGGAAAAGAACTGCGCCTGCGACGTCGACTGCGGCAAGAAAAATGGTACTCCGAAACATGGAGGGGTTGGCTTTGTAAGTGCTTGGACTACCCTTTTGTCCCCCAGAAAACCATGGTGCTCTTGGCGCCGTGGCCTGCGACTCGGCTGCTTCGGCCCTCCGTTGCCTGACGTCCAGGGAGATGACAGGATGGCATTAAATTATGTTTGCCCGAGCAAGGATTCTGGATAGGATTCTGGGTAGGATTTCGGATCGGAACTGCTGTCTTCTAATCGTCTAACATACTTGGGACCCATGGTCATGGTCGTCTGCACAGCATAACTGATCATTTGCACGACCGCAATTTCAATATCTACACATTTAACATCTTAACAGCGAATTAACAAGGTCCCCCCCCCTCCCGAGACCACTGTTTTTCGGTGGAATCGTCCATGGTTTCCACATTCCAGATTCCGTATTTTCTCTGATTCCCAGATTTGCAAGGGGATCTGCAAATCTGGAATCTGGAAGTCGGAATCTGAAATTTGCTCGAGAATTTTCCGAAACCACATCACGATTCACTAAACTTGGGTTACCCAATATCTTGTTCGTAAAGATTCTGATCCGTTGCTCTCACCTATTTCAAAGCGCCAGACAACTTTGTTCATTTCGTTAACATAACCAGGGGTCAGCGCTGCTTGTGCACCATTAGCCGGCAGATTTCCTTGAACACGAAGCAAAGCTGTCCTTCATTCCCTTCCAGTATTCCCGTCATGTTAACCTATAGAAGTCATGCAATAATGTAGTTGGCGTCAATTCTTTTTCCCCACAGCAAGTCAAATATCTACACTTACTAGCCCTATTGCAAAAACAAAAACAATATACTCGACCTTGATTTATAATACTGCAGTGTAGTTGGCATATCGGTTGTCCCAATAGTTGTCCTTCCTTCTCTTGCACGTTCCGGCCTTTCAAAGAAGCTATGGGTCGCATGTTTCGTGCCATGTGTATGTGTACACAGGCAACATGTGCGGCGTTTAACTGATGTGAAGAACAAATGGAACTGAATCAAAATCGCAAGTTCAATAACAGGCAAGGAGCAGAACTCATACAACACCACAACTGATCATAGATTTTTCCCTCGCCTCATATGCTAACGTGCTAAACTAGTTATTCCAGGTCCACGCGGCTTGTAACATTTTAGCCGGCAATTTCATCTTGTACGCAAACATGCATAGCTGTCATTCATTGTGTTCCGAAACTCCCGTACTTTAAACTTTGGAACTCTTACCAGAAA